CCTGGGACACCCCCTTGGCATCTCCCCCTTGGCAGTCTTTTGGTGTCTCCACACTCAGATGTCTACAGACATCCTTGCAAACACTGCGAACCCAACCAGCCCCAATCGGAAAGCCAGACATCGGAAAGCCAGACATCTCTTGCCCACCCCCAGCTGCCTCCTCCCTGCCACTGAGGCAGCTCATCTTTCTCAAGGGCTCAGACCCCAGAACTCAGGCCTGCAGAGGGTTACTGCATGGAAGAGGGTGTTATAGACTCCATTCCACACAGCACAAGTCTGCCTGGGCAAGAAGCTGCTTCCTAGGAGGGTCCAGTCCTGTGGTTTCTATGTCCCCTCCAAGACTCAGGCTGCAACTTCACTGCCATTTTAACAGTATTAAGGAGTGGGACCATAAGAAGTGATTAGGCCAGAGGTTCTGCCCTCCGGGGTGGATTACTGCTGTCGCTGGAAGAGTGGGCTGGTTATCCTCAAAGAGGCTTCTGGAGAAAGATGCATTTGGCCGCTTCCTCACTCCGATCCAGTCTCATGCTTAGTTGTGGCAGTGTGGGGTCCTTGCCAGAGGCTGGCACCAGGATTTTGGACTTCTCAACCTCCAGAAGCCAAATAAACTCCTATTCTGTGTGAATACCCAGACTGTGTTACCTGTTACAGAGTGGACTGACACATCCCTGCTGGCCAGAGTTCCCAGGGAGCCCTAATGGGAACACACAGCCTGGTTAAGGACAAAGCCACCTGATGCATGGGTGGTGGGAAGAGAAATTCTCCAGCTTGCTTTCCCTGCTGACAAGGAAAGAACAAGCACACCCGGAATCTCTTTTTTTTTTTTTTTTTTTTTTTTTTTTTTTTTTTTTTCATTTTTATGTATTTGGTATAAGGTCTTACCACACAGCTCAGACTCGTAGTGATCCTCCTGTTTTCAGCCTCCCCAGTGCTGAGATTACAGGCATGCACCACCACACCCAGAACCCATGGCTGGCTCAGTGCACCCAGGGTGGGGCCTACATATCATGTGGGGCTGGGTATTGAACACGGTCCCTGCATTTGCCTAAGCAGGTGCTTTAGTCAGCTGAGCTATCTCACCGGCCCACACCCAAACTCTTGAGTACCCAATGGTTATGCAGGGCAGCTGGGTGTGGGTGTACTCTGCCTCATCTATACTCTTATCCCAGTCTCCCGCTCATTCCCACTGAGTCTCCTACAGGAAGACATCCTCCTCAGGTCTCCACTGTGGCAAGACCTAGCTGCCCCCAACTGGCCTTCCTCCTCTCAGCAATTGCAACCCACCCCCATTTCTCTACACTCTGCTCATACTCCCTCAGAGGCTCCCCTCTCCTCAGACCATGGAAGGAGAGTGATCCTCAAAGTAGAGTCTGTTCCCTTGCCTCTCTTGCCTCATCTTGCAAGCAGTGAGACCATATCAAAATACAATAGGTGGATCTGGAAGTGGTGGCGCACACCTGTAATCCCAGCACTTGGAGGCTGAGGCAGGAGGATCATTGCAAGTTCTAGACAAGCCTGAGCTACAAAGTGAGCTCAAGGCCAGCCTGAACTACACAGAGACTCTGTTTCAAAAAGAAAAATAAAGAGGGCTGGGGAGATAGCTCAGCGACTTACGCGCCTGCCTGGCAAATGCAAGACTCAGAATTCGATCCCCAGTACCTCAAAAAGAAAAAAAAAAACAATGAGTATTGAACGAATGGCTACTTGGATAAAATATCCACAGCCTGGCAGCCATGGTTCATGCCAGGGCCCGTGGCAAGGCAACATGAAGGCTAGGAACATCTTCTGGCACCCTGTGGCCATGTGGGAGGCTGAGGTTTGTTAAAGGAGACTCCAGGCATGACAACCCCAGCTCAGGGTCCGGCACACAGGCCCCAGTGTTTGTGGAGCATCAGGGTCCTGGAAACTATGACCTGCCTGCGCAGCCTCTGGAGCCCAGCCAGGGTGCACCCAGTTCCTTGCACAGCGCTGGACACAGCAGGCAGGTGCTTGGCACAGGCTGGCTGAGAGTAAATGAAGCAGCCTCTTCATCATATCCCTAATCAATTCCAGCACCAAGCAGGGGATAAGATGGCCGTCCTCAGCCTCTCATTCTGCCATGACTCTACTTGGGAGGGGCTTCAAGGATGGGTAAGCCCTACCATGGGTCAGACCCCTCGCACTCCTTCTATTTTCCTCCTCACCCCTATGCCGAGAGGTGGTTTTCTGGAGTCCCTCAGCTCAGAGTCACTCAGCAAATTATTAGAGGTGAGTGTGTGCCAGAGAAGGGGCAAACTTAGGCCCATGTCACCAATATGGGAGGCTCTTCTGGTTTTGTAAATGAAGAGGTCAAAACTGAAACAGTTGAGGGGCTGGTGAGATGGCTCAGTGGTCTAAAGCACCTACTTAGAACGCTTAGCAAAGCACAGGGACAGCGCTTCAATCCCCCAGCACCACATGCCAGCCAGCCCTGTCCCCTGGTGGGCTGAGCTGGCCACACACACACACACACACACACACACACATAAATAAATAAATAAATAAAATTTAAAAAAACAATTAAAACGGGGGTGAGGCTCAGTTGTAGAATTCTTGCGTTGAGTCACAAGGCCACCAGCATGACCAAAGAACTAAATAAGTTCAACTTCTAAAACAGTTGAAGTCACTTGTCCTGGGTTACAGCTGATCTGCTTAGCAGGCAGGGTCACTGTAGCTCAGGGTTTGTTCCCTGGAGTAGGGGCCAGAACACTGGATTGGGTACAGTGGTGCATACCTATAATCTCAGCATCCTGAGAGGCAGAGACAGGAGGATTTCAAGTTTAAAACTAGCCTGGCCCACTCAAGGACTTTGTGAACTCCTTGAAAATAAAAAATATGGGGATATATCTCTGTGAAGGCTGCTATGGATTCAATCCCTAGTACTGGTGGTGGGGGGTGGCAGGGGAGTGGCATAGGCTTCACACTTTCATTCACTGAGAACTCCTTCCCCTCCTCCAGCCCCTGAAGTGAAGTCCAAAGGCTGACATGCTACAGTACACAGGAAAATCAGCAAGACACCCAGGTAGGACCCACCGCAATCTGTTTCTTGGCCTGGCAAGGCAGGGAAATGCACTCTCCAGGGCCATTTCACTTTCACCTGCATTTCTGCCCTCCCCTCACAGACCCAGAACCATTCAAGACCAGACTCCCCAGTCCTGCCTCACTGAATCCTCAAGACCATATTTATGAGTAGGACACACCTTGGTCTCACTTTGAGAAGACAGAGACTGTTGAATAAGTGCTACCTAAGTGTTAATGAGTCACCAAGACCCCTAAAGCAATGCTCCAAGGAGAGTTAGTCTTTCTTGCCACACACCCTTGTTCCCATGATTGGAACACAACAAAACAGTCCCTGAAGGCTCTCACCAGGCCACACATATGTAGATGAGGTGGCCAGCCCAGACCATGACAGGCACTGTCAACACCTCCTCCTGAAGTCCAACCCAGCACCACCACTAGCTGGGTCCCTTGCCAGGAACAAGGCTGCGGCCTAGCACAGTGTGGAGGTCAGGAAACCTGGGCTACAGACCAAACTCTGCCCTAAGCATCTCACAGAGGGCATGAGGGGGTATCCTGGATGTAGGGTCCCAGGGTGTTGAGGGGTTCAAGAATACTCTAAAGGGGAAGGCAAGCTCTTCTCTCAATTAATGGCAGTGTATTTTTGAAGAATGACTTTCATCATCTGAGGACTACAAATCAAAACAGGTTATGAGTCCCCATGCTGGCTTTCCTGAGGTATTATGTTGAACCCAGGGCCTTGTGTGCACTTGTTCTCACCTCTGAGCTCCAGCTCAGCCCAGTGACTACCAGACTGAGTAATCCCAAAGGCCCTTTCCTTCCAGAATCCAAGTATTCTTGGGTTGTACGCATTTAAATGTAAGTTCTGGGGCCAGGGAGATGGCTCAGTAGAATAAGCGCTTCCCTGGCCAGCATAAGGGCCTGAGTTCAATCCCCAGTTCCCGAAAAAAAAACCTAAAATAAATAAATAAATGTAAGTTCTGCTCCTCATCCCACAAGGGTGAATCAGTTGTGGCTCCAGGAAACTCAGATTTTTTGTCCTGTGTCTATGTGGGAGCTGGGGATGGAACCCAGGGTCTCACAGGATAAGCTTTACCATTCAGCTACACCTGCAGCCCTATTTCTTCTCTGACTGTAGGGAAAACCTTGGGATCCAACACCACACAGCTCTAGGATCTCCCTGTCCTGATGTCTAATAGTTCTCCAGCCCTCAAAAGAAAGCAGGGTCATCCCAAGGCTAAGCTGAAAGATGATATCAGTACACCTCATGGTCTGTCAAGAGTGGCTCACCCCACCCTTGGCCTCTGTCTCTTGTAGGCAAGGCTCCTGGCAGTGGACCACAGGTGCATCCAGGCCTTGGGTCCCCTTCTCCAGGAGAGAACTTGGAACCTCACTGAGCCATACTTCTGTAAGAAGCCTGGTTTTCATTAAACAAGGTAAAAGAGTCATTAACTGCCAAGTCCAGAAGAGGCAAAGTTCTGCTAGAAGGCCCCAAGAAAGTGAAGGAGACTAACCTGTCCCCTGCCCTCTTTGGTTGACTGATGGTGGGGGCAGGGAGAGTTTGGGTTCCTAAGGGCCCAGTAACTGCAGCAGTAGCAGCTGGGGGTGGAGAGTCGGGGAGCCTTGGCCCAGATAATAAGCAATTGTTAATGTGATCCATATGGATCCTGACTGGCCTCTCTGTTTAACAGGATGATAATGGCAGGGAAAGAATGCTGGTCTGTGGAGAAGGGAAGGGGCAAAGTCCTCCCCAGACTTAGGGGGTGGGGAGAGTCATCAAGGATGAGGAGGAGGGAGGAAAAAGAAGAGGAAGAGGAGTGGAGAGGAGACCCACTCAGGGTCCACCACTCCTCAGGACAGAGCTATTTACCTGAAAATGGCCAGACTCCACATTTTGTGGGCTCCCTGGCTAAATGCCCTTACAAATCCTTTTACTCAGCCAACAATATCTATGTGACACTTACAAGGTGCCATGCTCTGGAAGGGAGTACATGCTTCATCTGTGTCCTGGTCACCAAGGCAAAAGGGAGGCACAGGTGCAGGACTGGGAGACCACTGAGGGAGGAGTAAGTGACAAGAGCAGGAAGATCCAGGACCCTGTAGGGGGAAGTGCGGCATCTGAGCTGGGCCTTGAAGAATGAGGAGGTTGTGGCAAGACAGGGACAATGGGAAGGCATTTGGCTGAAGGCACAGCAGGAGTAAAGGCAGAGAGGCGTGAAATTGCGTGGAGAGTCTGAGATCTCAGCAATAAAGCTGCAGCCCAAGCAGGGGAGGGGAGGGGATTTTTGAACCATAAAAAGCTGTGGCCATGAATGACCAGTAGAAAAGAGAAAGCTCTGGAGCACTACACTGGGGTCGGGGTCCCTCCCTCCACCTCCCTCCAACTGTGTATTGAAACTGTACAATCAGGGATCCAGGGCCCAGCTCAAGGCCATACCACAGCCAGAGACACACAGGGAGGGCCTGGGAGACCAAACTCAGCCCTGTATCTCTCTGCTCCCCTTTTCTCCTGTGGAACGGGAGCCCTCTGAAGCCTGGAAGTTATCTGGACCTCAGGAGGAGCAACTCCACTGCTTCACTCAGCTAAATCCATTTCGGCCCAAGAGCGCTGCCCCTAGAAGATATTACAGCACGGGCACGAGGGTCGCTTCTGGCAGACATCAGTGGAATCAAGTGGAAATAAATGAAATGGTGTTAAATACAGAAAGGGGGATTTATGAGGCCTGTCACCCTGGCCAGCACGACCAGCCCAGTAAGCCCCGCCCCTTTCCTCACCCACCCCAGTAAGTCCCGCCCCGCCCCCGCCCCTCTGCTCTGGCTGCGGAGGGGCAGCAACAGAGCTAGGCACCCAACTCCCGGGCCACCGCAGCCCGGCAGCTAGGAGGTACCTAGTGCACCCCTGTATGTGGGGCTAAGAGACGGCAGAGAGTAGCGTTTGCTCCTGGCCTAGGGGGCTCTGGGCAGGGACTGATTTCAAAAGGATGCTCCCGGGTTTCAGAATGGACTCTGGGAGGGTCTAGGACACGCTCTGAGCAGTGAGAGGTCTTTGGAACGCAGCCGCTCCTGGTCCTCTCCGCAGGCCAGACGGCTCCAAGGTACCCTTCAGGGCCCAGGGAACAGAAAAGCCCCCACGCGGTAAGCTCAGAGTGGAACTGGAACCCGGTCCCCACTACTGGATGTTGGGCAGAGGCCAGCTTTCCCAGCTCCTGCAGCCAGTGCGGAGGACACCACAAACATTCTTTCGTCCTCTATTCTCCTCCAAATTAGGTATCCATGGAGACAAGGCCGGCAGCTTGACAGCCCCAAGGCCTAATCCTGATTTAGTGACGGTCCCTTTAACAGCCCACCCACCCCTGCGCTCCGGCCCGCCGCGGGGCATAGGCTCCAGGCCGCTCGCGCTCTCCGCGGTGGAGAGCCCTCCGCAGCCCTCCGCCAAGAGGGACTCAGGGCGGAGGGGACCCAACATGTGCCCACTGTGTGCCCAACACACTGCGGAGGACGCTCACGGAGGAGTCCCGGAATGGGAATCCTGCGGAGCAGACCTCGAGAGAGCTGCTGGAGTGGAGAAGTTTAAAGGGCCGAGAGCCCAGGGGCCTCCCTGTGTCCAGGGGCCTGGGGTTCAGGGTAGCACAGCTTCGTGCAGCGCCTCGGTTCGCAGGTGGGGTTGCGCTCTCGGGCCAGGCGGGAGTGTTGAAGCGCGGGGACAGAAGAAGCCCCGACCTCCTGTCACTGCCCGGGCACGGGGCCGGGAATCTCCGGTCGGGAACCCAGCCCCCACCCCTCCCGCACACAGGGGCCGCCGGACAAAGACCTGACGGAGTGGGAGGGGCCTGGCCGGCCCTCGGCTCCGGCCGCAGGGTCCTTCTGGGACCCGAACCCGCAAATCTCGGTTCCCACCCCCAACCCCACAAACTCTCGGGAGCCCGCGGCTCTCAAACGCCACAACCCCCACGCCCGAGGAGACAGCGAGATGGGTGCAGTTCGCCGATCAAGCGCGACCCTCTCCTCTGCCCCCCCGGGAAGTGACCCTCGGCTCCCACGCACCCGCCCGGCCTCCTGCCTGCCCTCAGACCTCCGCCTATTGGAACCCCGCGACCCGCAGCCCCCCCCTGCCGCCCTCGCACAGCCCCGCGCCTGCGGACAAAGCTCCGGACACCCCCTGACCCCGGGCAGCCTGCACCCGCGCCCAGGCCCACGACGCGTACCTCGGCATCCCGGCCGGGTCCTAGGTGAGTGTGCTCGGCCCGGGGGGGCGTCTGGCCCGGGGACGAGGACGGGGGTGCGGGCCGGGGGCGACCGGCTGGAGCTCGGGGGCAACGGCGCTCACCATCCTGGAGCCACGGCTGCTGCGGCCGCCGCGGCCCGGCGCGGGACTGGGCAGTAGGGGTGGCCCGACAAGGGGCGGCCCCGGCTCCCCCCGCAGGCAGGACCCCCCATCCCCGCCTCCCCTCGCCCGCCCCCAGCGCCCTCCCAGGCCGGCCTCGCTCCCTCCCCTTCCCCTGCTCCGCCCCTCCCGAGGGCCCCTCCCTCCCTCCCCCAGCTCCCGCCCGCCCCGCCCTGCCCTCCCCCGCGCCCCCGCCCCGCCCCCACTCCCTACTCCCCGCCCCCTCTCCCCTGCTCGTCAGCCCCGCCCCGCGCCCTCCCCTAGCTCCAAAATAAATTAGCCACCGAGGGGAAAAGGAGCAAATGACCCTCGGTGTGGAGAGCGTCCTTGCGCTACTCTCGGGCCCGCCCGCCCCGCCTCCCGAGCCGTCGGAGCGGGAAATTGGGGTGGGGGTGGCGGCCAGCAAGCTGGAGGCCCGGGTCCGCGCCAGGGAGGTGGAGGCCAGGCCTGGGCAGAGCGCGTCCCCGGGGTGTGAGCGCCCTACCAGGTCGAAGGGCAAAAGAGAGGGCAGCCGACCCCGGCCCGCCCCGTCCGCTGGCCGCTGGCTGCTGAGACCTCCTCTCCCAGGACTGCCTTGGCCCCTCAGCCAAGGCCCGGCTGACTCACGCTTACTCACTGAGCCTAGGTGAGCTGATCGTGGACTGTACTCCGGTCTAGACTGCCGCCCGGACACAGGGCAAGACTACAGCCAGGCCAGCTGTAGCTCTGCACTGTGCCTTGGGCGTAGGCCGCGCACAGTGGGTGTAAGTAACCGATGAAGGAGGATACTTCGTGGAGGACTTCCCCTGGGAGGCCAGTCTGGAGGCTGTGTGGGACCTTGAGTGGGCCTGTTGGTGCCGAGAAACAGCCACTGGTTATTGCATTCATTCAACAGATATCCCTTTAGCATCTGTAGCACCTGCTTTGTGCCCCGCTATGGGATAGGCTATCTAGACACGGAAAGAGTCCAAAGGTAAAGCCCTGCCCAGGTGGAGCTGCCAGTTAAAGAGTAGACGGAATTCTGCCAACTATGCAACTCAGCACTGAAGTAGTACCAAAGGCCCGGAACAGAAAGCATTAGGACAAGGACTGTGCTTATGAAGGAAGCTACTGGTAAGCTTCTGCAGGAGACAGCATCCAGGGCTACCCTCCATCAGCGTTACCACTCATGGGTAGTGTTTAAGGGCCCTTTCTTCTGAAGTGTTTTTTGGTTTGGTTTGGTTTGGTTTGGTTTGGTTTGGTTTGGTTTTTTCCTTTTGGGTGCCTGCCAGCTGGCAAAACAGGCTCTGTCTTCTGGTTTTGCAGAACTCACACTACACTACCCAGGCCCTTTCCTAACCACCACTCCTCTGGAAGAACTGGGGTTGGACAGGCCCAGAACACCGGGTAGGTGCCTCTTAGGGAAAGGAAAGGGCAAGATCCTCAAGAGCTCCTGTTTTTCCCCAGCCCACTTATGGGAGCAAGTCCAGCACCCAAGAAGGTTCTGGAACTCACCAAGGTCAAGTCTTTTCCACTCTCAGAATTCTCTCTTCTCTCCACACCCAGGACCACACCCTGGCACAGTGTTGGGCATGTGTGGGTAGTTTGGGCTTCAGAATCAGAAAGAGAGGATAAAGCGAGTCACAGAACATCCTACCACACACAGAGACAGGACAATCCTATGGCAACAAAGCAGGACGGAACTCCATGAACGTGTTTCTTTACTTACCAGGGATCTAAAGTCTAGAGACGAGATCACGTGCTTGAGGTCACACAGCAAAAATGAATCTAGAATCTACTGTCTTTCTACCCCTTGCTCTCCACGGACCAGAGACAAGACTTGAAAGGCTAATGTTCACATGAGCTGAGAAACCTCAGCCTGCAGGGTTAATGCCAGGACACCAAGCCTGGCATTGCTGTGAGGACCTCTCAAAATCCTTAGTTCTGCCCACCTTACCCTTCCAGGAGAAATAGAACCTTCCTGTACTACTAGGCTAAACTAAAGGATGGTCTTGACAGTGCTACAGGAGCATGGTCAGCTCCTGGAGAAGACCTTTGCTGCATTTCGAGAGGCAAAGTCAACAGCTTTGTAGTCCCGAATGGTTTCCGATGGACAAACTGCTGTGGATCACTTTAAGGGGCTTAGTAACTGGGGATGTCGTGTCACCCCCCATCCTGCACCAGAGTATAGGCAATGAAGTGTGGCTCCCACCTCCCTAACCACATCAACGTCCTGTTAATACATCGTCTGCCTCCTGAGCTGACAAATACTTGGTCCTAGCAAATGGCCCTCCATCCTATTTGTACCCCTATCCCTTGGGGCGGGGCCCTGGGAGTCTAATCTCTTGGGCCTCTTGGCTGACCCCGCTCCTGTCTGTCCCCAGGCAAGAATTCTATGCCCTGAAAGCCCCCTGCTGAAGTCACTGTGATCATCTGGGCAGGTCAAGTGCCCAGCAATGGATTGGATAATGATAGTGGTAATGATGGTGTAATGCATGGCTTCATCAGAGGGTTCTCCATGCTCTGCCAGCCCTTTTTCTTGTACTACACCCAAGGGGGAGAATCCCACTCCGCACCCCCACCCAGCCTCAGGGAGCAGGGCCTGTGCTTGTGCATAGCTAAGTGCCAGCATGAGTGTGGGTAGGGGGTGTGAGTGTGTGACCTTCCTGGCCCAGAGCCTTGCTGCAACAAGGCTTTTGCAAAATCGTTCAGAAAAGTGCCTCCAGTGGTGCGGGGAGACTCGGTGGGAAGGGTTTTTGAGGGAGGGAGGAGCAGGTGGGATGAGGAGGAAGGAAAGACAAGGGCCTGCG